GCTTCATGGCCAATGGCGATATGACAGCTAAGTAAGGCTAGTGAAGTGAAAAAAGCTTAAATTCAAATAGCCAAAATGACGCCCCCGAATATGGAGTATTCAGTCACATCATTTTGGGGGGGGGGGGAGAACATTTACACCTAAAAATAGTAAGATCAGAGAGTGACACGTGGAAGAGATCCGACGCTTTCAAGGAAGTCTGTGAGAGTCCACAATTGATAAAATGGTTAGAAGAATAGGACTATTGAAATTCTGAGAAACGAAGAAACGTGACATCATGAGCCACCAATTAGAAACGGTTCAGCATACATTCACGTATCTTAAGGGAAAAAGACCATGATCACAAGTAATGGCTAAAAAATATGGATCAACATTTGAGAGGCATCTCTATAAAATAACAGAGGTCAGGACACTGGGAAGGGATCCCATGATCAATCACAAAAACTCTTCACAAAGTCAGCCTATTTTTTTTACTTGTTTCTTGCTTCTAAGCAATCTTACTTTTCCTGTAATACATCACGCTGATGATATTTTATTGCTTTCATTTAATGCTAAGTCTAGTATTCATTTCGTCTTCCAGATTCAAATTTAATTTGCTTGTTACTTTACATTCCCACTGTTTACTTTATAATATCTTTCTTAAGTTTCTATTTGGTGAAATTATTTAAAGTTCTTGAAACTCCAAGGCATAGAAAAGAACCTGGTAACCTTACGCTTCGCTATATTTGCCTGAATAGTCACAATTTTAGAACCCCTTGTTGGTTTGAATAAGTAAGGTCATATGTGTATAAATTTTTATGTCCACTTAAACTTTAGTATGCCCACACAGTGATATAAAGTGCGTCCTCAACCAAATGCTTTGAATATGAGTTTTTGACATTTGAAGGTAAAAAATGAGAGCAAGAAAGTTTAATGATGGGCAATCTGGAGGAGTAAATATTCAATATAACAGTTATATTACGTCAACATTATCACATGATATTATAATTTAATAATAAAAATATCAAGTGATAAATGGGTATACATCGAACCACAAGCTAGCATTGTCACATAGTTGATATGTAATATATATAATAAAGTAGAACGGTTTTGAATTTTGGAGACAAAGAGCGGCCCAGATTGTTTCGTAACTAAAAAAGTCATCATTCAACGGACTGCGTTATCTCAAACTGTCTCAAACTATTGACGTCTCAGATCGTTTTAATCTGATGTACCACATTAACTCTTTTGAAATATTTTTGCTGCTCAAAAATTATAGTTTTCAATATTGATATTCCAAAATTTAATTCCCTCAAAGTTTTCCCTTAAATCAAGCAAATCTCTCTCTCTCTTTCATTCCTCTGTATCTTTCTCTCAAGCTCAATTCATGCAAAAAGTATTAATTTTTCACAATTTTTTTCTCTGTATCTCACGAAAATATTAGAGTGTCTGATTCAAGCAAATATTATATTTCTTTGCAGATAAATAGTATATATCACAGAGAAAGATAGTATATTATGAAAAAATTTCTTTGTACCTCTCTCTGAAGGAAAATTATGTAATAAATATTAGATAGATGATATATATCACGGAAATATTCCTTTGTATCTCTCTCTTTCATTCAAACAATACTACAAACACGAATCATACAAATTTAATAGTCAATTTTATTTTTTCCCATAATCAATAAAAAACATAACTTACAAAAAATCTAATTTAACAAATAAAATATGCTTAACATGTAAAATATATAAGGTTAAATTAAATTTATTGGACAACTCAGATATCAAGAGATATATTAAAGGAAATATGTTTAACATTTAAAATATACAAGATTAAATTCATATACAAACACGAATCATACAAATTTAATATTTAGTAAGCAACAACACAAAACAACAATATTTACTAAATAATCTAAATCTAAATACCTGAGAAAAATGATACAAAATTACAAGTAGAGAAACGATACAAAATTATAAGTAATACTATGAATACGAATCATACAAATTCAATATTTAGTGAACAACACGAAACAACAATCTTTATTAAATAATCCAATACTAAATAATATTTAGTTTAAGAAAATATACTAAGAATATAAATAACTGAGAAAAATGATATAAAATTAAAATCATTACTATAAACTCAAATCATACAAATTCAATAGTCAATTTTATTTTTTCCATAATCAATAAAAAAAATCATAACTTGCAAAAAATCTAATTTAACAAAAAAAATATGATTAACATTTAATATATACAAGATTAAATTCAAGATATTGGGCAACTCAGATATCAAGAAATATATTAAAAAAAATATGTTTAACATTTAAAATATACAAGATTATATTCATATACAAACATGAATCATACAAATTTAATATTTAGTAAGCAACAACACAAAACAACAATATTTACTAAATAATCCAAATCAAAATACCTGAAAAAAAATGATACAAAATTAAAGTAGAGAAACAATACAAAATTATAAGTAATACTATGAACACGAATTATACAAATTCAATATTTAGTGAACAACACGAAACAACAATCTTTATTAAATAATTCAATACTAAATAACGTTTAGTTTTAGAAAATATATTAAGAATATAAATAATCGAGAAGAATGATATAAAATTAAAAACACTACTATAAACTCGAATCATACAAATTCAACAGGTANTAAGAATATAAATAATCGAGAAGAATGATATAAAATTAAAAACACTACTATAAACTTGAATCATACAAATTCAACAGGCAGATCGTATCTTTTGAAAGTCGGTTGAATTTTTTATAGTTATATTTGGTCATTTGACAACATCTGCAGACTTAGTTTATTTGTGGGAGTATTGTTTTAATTTTCATTCTATTAGTTATGAATTCTATTATTATTTAGATAAAGTTGATTATGAATGTTAAAATTGTGAATTTTGAATCAAAAACAAAATATTGAATATTGTAAATTGATATAATTTTTTAGGTGTTTGAATTATTATGTTTAAGTAGTTATAACATAATTTTCATGGTGTAACAATTAACATAATTTTGCATGTAGGTTGATGATATAAAAAATATTAGTGGACTCATTTTGTTTGTCGTTTATTATAATGTTGTATTTTACTTTATATTTATGTATGAGCAAATATTTGTAACTAATTTATGAGTAACACCGTGCTTTCAGGCACGAGAAATTGTTAGTTATAATATACGTTACTAGTAAATGGTGTACATCAAATCATGCTAAACATCTCTTACAATACTCTAAGTTAAAATATATCAACCACAAGCCTTGTCGTCTAAACTACCTTGATTTATTCAATTTTTCAATATTAACAATAAACTTGGCACAATTCAAACTTCGGGGGGGGAAAAAAACTAATGACAAATGATGTATACATAATAGTACTACTTGAACTAAATTTTTAATCTAATTTTTAGACCTAATTCCTTATGGTAGTCAAATTGATAATTCAGGTTTGGTTGAAGAGGCAGTACTCATACACAAGTGACTAAGCTTATCAATGAGTCCGATAACTATCAATTGAAATTTGGTTTAAAATTTTTCTCTTGTTATTTGTTGAAATTTATTTTTTTAGTTTATATATTAATATGTTAAAATCAAAATTTAATCCAAGTGATTCAAACAAATAAATTTTAATAAGTTACATATGGATTTTTCTTTAATATTGTTTTATAAGCTTTTAGGGAGCGGGTTTGGGTTGAATAATGGTATGTCAATATTGGAATGTGAAATATGATGCAATATATTTGGATTTGAATATGAATTAATTGTAAATAATATTAATTTTTTTTTATTTAATTAAATTTAAATTTAATTCAAATTAGAATTAAAATATGTTTAATTAGATATTTTAACCTGAGCGAGGTTTCATTGATGCAGATTTAAAAATGAGCAAACTTTATTGGATTTAAAAATCAACCTTAAATGACGAAAAAAAGAAGAAGAAAAAATTACATTTAGGCTCCTTGAGGTTTTTTTCTTTAATCATTTAGACCTCTAACATTTAAAATATTATACACAACTCTTTGAAGTTTGTGCATGCATAACATTTAAATCTCTGCCGTTAATGTCTCATATCCATTATAAAATTATATTTAGATTTCCTAAAGTTTAAATTTAAAACATTATACTTAGACCCCTTATTAGTTATAGAACTAACATAATTTATTAAAAGGCCAAATTACCCCAATTAAATATAAAAAATATTGTATTAATTATAGTTTAACCTCTTATCTAGTTTTATTCTAATAAGCAATATAATTACATGTAAATGAGTATTGAATTAAGTTCCCTCAAAAAATTGAGATTTTGTTTAGTTTTTATGTTAATGGAAGATAAATGAAACATGCAAATATTTTAATTATACTTATTTAATCTATTCGTACTTGATGATGGTAAAATTAACCTAATGTGAAAAATTCATTTAGTCAAAGATACTCCAAGTATCACTTCTACCTTCTAAATGCAGTTTATACTTTTGATTCACTGAATTAGGCATAAAAGAGTTGACCCTAAGAGTTCCCCACTAATCTCTTACTATTTTTTTTAGGTGATCAAAATCCAACAAATTGATGTAAAGGTCATTCAAATTTTGGTATCAACAGTACTAATTATGATTTTTTAAAGAAAAAATTAGATTTTTAATTTTAATTTTATTTCAATAAATGATATAATAGAACATGAATTTTAATTATAAAATTTAAAATATTTGATATTTTACTTTTAATTAGCATATTTTTAGTTTAAGTGTAATAATATTTTATATTTAAACAGTCAAAATATTACACACTTTAAATTTTAGAGACTTGGATGTAATTTACTAATGAATATTAATCAAAGGGGAATGTGTTATGCCAACATAAAATTTAAGAATTTATATATAATATTTTAAATATTTCGTTAAAATCAAAAAAAATTCAACATCACAAGCAAAAACCTTCCAAGAACGGGGTGAGGTTTCATAGAGCAAACACAGCTAACGGAGACATCCAACAATGGCGGCTACAGCGAACACAGCTAACGGAGACATACTAATGCTGGAAGCACCTCCTTCCTCCAAACCCTCGTGGTCTACGGGCGCAGAATTGATCGATGCACTGCCGTACATCGACGACGACTACGGCAACCCAAAGGTCAAAGAAGAGGTGGACCGTTTGGTCGAAGAAGAAATGCGTCGGAGCTCTAAAAAGCCCTCCGATTTCCTCAAAGACCTCCCTCCTCTTCCCAAGTTCAATTTCCAGGTTCACACTTACACACACACTCTCTCTCTCCTCGTCTGTGTTTAGGCATTGCTAGGGCCTTTTAAATCCTGTGTTATGTTAACTGTAGAGGTTTCGATTATCATCAGTGGCTTATAATTGGTATGTATGTATAAGAATAAAAAAAACAGTGCATATTGTGTGATTTATGTGTAAAATCTGTGTGGAGAATTTATGTTAGACACAATTAATTTTTTATTACCTGTCAAATAAAAAAAGGAAATTGGTCAAAGCCATCTGTTATTGAAGCTGGGATTACGTATTGTGGCTTTGATCGGGTCCAGTACTGTCAAATAGTTCGGTTGAGAATATTTGTTTTTGGTTAAGTAAATATGATTTCTTTGCTGGAAAAAGATATTCACAAGAACGCTCAAAAACAATCGCACAAGGGCACACAAGAGTACACCCAAATGTTTGCTCCATCACACACCAACTAAAATGGCGTACCCAGGGCATGAGGTTCCGTCATTGCAGGTCTGGAGATGGTTTGGTTAAATGTACACGGTCTTATCCACATAGAGGCTGTTTCAGCGACTCAAACCTGTGACCTCTAGGTCACAATGGAACAACCTTGACAAAAGACAAAAATAAAATGGATCCCTAATTTCTGTAGAAAGCAAATAGAAGTTAGACCTGTCGTGACCTGAATGATGCATGGAGCTACCATGGTGAACAAAATGTTTCAAACTTAAGCCTCCATCTAGGCTTCAAATTTTCCAAACTAAGGAAACCCGAATCGAAACTCATGGGCCCCCACCTAAACCAGTTGGTTCCAGATATTTTCCCTTTGGCGTGCCACAACATCAAAGGGTCATGGAAAACCACAAGCCACTAAGCAAAGTGTGTTGGTGCAAAAGAAAAACGTAAGTACTAACAAAGATATCCAACAAAGGCAAGCCCATTTTATTTCTTATGAAGGTCTCTCACAGTTTAGCCTTTACCCGATTCCGTGAAGCTAGATTCTTTAATATTGGAGCAAACTATGATAGAGGAGGCTAGACAAATTGGTTTGTACTCTTATTGACAAGGTATGGGTTAGTGCATACGATTGGGTAAGAAAATGGGAAACTTCTTTCTGATGGAGTACTAGATGGGTTGTTACAAGATCACCCCATGTATCTAAGAGTTCAAACACATGGCAACTGCAAGGTAAGAAAGAGTTCACACTCACCATCACTAGACATTTGCCATCCGTTTATAGTTCTAGGCTATTGACCCTGTAACTACCGCTCTCAATGTAAGTAGATTGTAAACTGTTTACGCAACATACTTTTGTATACACCTTATGTTGAGCAGTCTAACTCTTCACTAATCCTCACTCTCCCAGTTAGCTTGTCAAGCATGCTCCTTCCGTGCAACCAAACAAACTGCGATGGTCAGAGCATCCACCTCATGTTGTCTTTTTTAGCATAACCCAATAAAAACATGACAAAACCACGCACCAAAAGTTTCAAATGCCAAGGTTATACACTCACCCCTCTTGAGGGAACCACAAATCCAACTCCAGAGCTACAATTGTCATATTGGACTATGGCACAACATGCCCTCACCAAAAAATGTAGACTCATGCTATTTCAGCCTGCGCACGAATTACCCCATTAGAAACTTGATGACCATGGGGTTCCCCATTTCTATCTCATGAAGCATAATCAGAAAAAGAGATACGCATGGGCCTCAATTCAAACTCAACAAAGAGGAGCCATTCACCCTTTGTTAGAACTTAGAAGGATAATTGCTTGATGTGAAGCTCATATCTGAAGATTGTAGCAATCACTATCCTCGATGAACATAGACATGGGATCTAGGGCGTGGGAGATGGGGTTTGAAAGGGGGAGAGATTGATAAAAGAAACCCTAGGGAGAGCTACTACATTTTAGAGAGAGAACCTCTCCCCTCCCCCTTGATGGACAATAATTATAAAAGGAAAATTGATTTTTCTACTTCGAGTTTGTGAGTTAATTCATGATAAGGGGACTGTTGGGTAGAAGTAAGAGTAAATTGGGATGATAAGAACTTAAGAAGATACTAAGGAATATATTGGTCCCATTTGTTCTTAATTATGCTATAAACATCGCATTTTATTAGAAAAAGAGTTTCTTTATATTCTTTGAAGGTTATACTCTCATCCTCTCTAGATCTCTCTAGGAAAATGGATGGTTGAGATGTATTTTTATGGTTTTGGTGGCTCAATTAGTCATGATCTGCAAAGCAGGTTGGAAACCCCAAAGCATAATGCACTTATCATTTTGATGTAAGACAACATTAGTGATTTTCTACACGTGGTTCTGTAGTTGGTTATGGTTGCTAGCCTTCCTATCTGAAGTGTTTTGTTTTGTTTGTGTAAAGCTTTCAGGGTTAGCTTATCAGAAAAAAGCTTTCAGGGTTAAGGTTTATAAAGTTTAAGAAGGTTCTATGCATTGGGTAGGAAAAGGGTTAGAATGACATGATTGCCGAACTGAGGAATTTAAGAAAAGTGGACAGGAACATCAAGTGTTTTAAGTTTTTCTTGTGGTAAATTGATTGCCAAAGGAAGGACAATGTTAGGGGTGATTAGGGGTTTGATATGGTAGGGATTTCAATATTAACTTAGAGATTTGTGGTTGCTGGGTTGAATCCTTGGTGGTGGGAAATGATTGAGCTTTGTACATAAGATATTCCATGGTTAACATAAGTGATGGGGTCAAATGATATTGTAACAATATTGAAGAGAGAATAGAGAAGAAAACAAATGAGGAAAAAAATTAGGAATTCCTCCTAGAATTCCTTAGAATCACACCAAAGAAAAGGTTGCATTAAACATATACAGGTTCCAGAATTTCATAGAGTCTCAAAATTCATTCATTTGAATTAAGATAGAGTAGAAATGTATATGCTGCTGAACTCTCCTAGCAAAGACCCAGGCTTGGCTTTCTCGCTATTAGAACTATTGTACCACCTAGGTAATAGGACCCAAATATAATTTAGAGAAACTATTTATTATTGTCACAGCCAACCCAACAATTAGTAAGTGAACTGCAGTGCTATGACTTCTAAACCTAATGAAATATGGAAAAGATAATCTATTATCTTGCTAACCTGAAATTAGCAAATAATGAATCTGGTTAACTCTCAAAACAGCGATCCAAGATCCAAATCCTATGCCATTTGAAATTCTTGGATTGTTTTTTTCATCTTGTGGGATGGAGTTCCTTAGAATTTGTGTATAGCTCATAACATTTTGTGAGATGCTTCATGGAGCCTTACCTTAGGGGTAATTCCTAGGGATTCAAAGTGATTCTTTTCAATACCTTTACCACCATGGTGGAGCTTGCTAGTCACCCCTTTCAAGCCAAATGAATATCATATGAAGCCCAACTTGTCACTCTTAAATATTCAACACTAGCAATCTAAAATCCACAATATTTCGAAGTTACTGTTCTTGAGTTGCTATTCACCACCATTGAGTAGGTTCTATTTTGTCCTAAGAACTCTATCCTCACAAGTCCTAATCAATACCTAAATGGTTATCTACTGATACCCCCTGAAATTCCAACAACAATTCACATTCAAAAAATTTCCAATTTGGACCCTTACTTGTACTCAATGATGCAATCTTTGTTTAATTGGTAAATTTCACGTGAACCCTTTGAGATTGGGTCAAATGACATGGAAACCCCTGACATTTCAAAAATATGTCAGGAACCCTTTGACATTTGTAGCGTGTTATATATACACCCCTTCATGGACTTTAAAAGCATAATGAAAAAAAGCGTTGACTTTAGTGAGAAAAAAACTATATATTTCCAAAATTGACATTCTTTAATTTTAAGGCCCTAATTCATCCAAAATGAATTGTAACTCAATTAATTATTCCCACTTCTCCCCTAAGTATTATTTGACAAGTTAATAATCAAATTACACACTATGAATCATGCTTTTTATATTCAAATACATCATATCAATTCCAATTTCATAATTAACTATGTAATTACATCATATTAAATTCATTTTTGGTAATTAACAATGTAATTGCGTACCAATTTTAAAACTAATGCACTAATCCTTAGATTTTAGTACACAACCTCTGTCAACCACCCTTGGCCACCAAACCAATGTTGCCACTCCCATCGGTGCCTTCTCCCCGGTAAACCCCCAACCCGTTCTCCTGTCGATGCATCATATCACAAAGAGAGAGAGACACTTCAATCCTCCTTCTCCATTCCATCGCGTTCACACTAACCCTCTCACACACAGTTTCACCAAAAGCCATGGAAGGAATGCTTGCCCACCAACACATGAAATACAACCCACCAATCGCACAATTACCCAAGTTCAATCACTAATTTTGACCCAATTACACAAAACAAACACAAGATTCAAGCAAATTCCATGGTAGACATATGATTGAATATTGGTGGTGAATGGTGGAGGGTTGACAAGTGTCACACCCTAACTGGCTTGGGTGCACAAATGGCGGTCTTGGTGGCACTTTGCACCAAGGCACACCATGAGATTGAATCAAGGTGATGCGGATAAGCAGTTCGACAGATTAGTGTGGACTGTGGCAGCATGAGACCACCCGGCTGAGCATGGTTAGCACGTGGTGGACTCAATTGGGCAATGTGGGTGCATAGCTTTGAATTGCATGGCATGGGCTGCACCCAAGGCTGCTCAATACATGTGACCAGGATGATGTGGGCAGTTGACAATTGCTGAACAAGGCTTAGTCTGTGGGAAGTANAGTTCGACAGATTAGTGTGGACTGTGGCAGCATGAGACCACCCGGCTGAGCATGGTAGCACGTGGTGGACTCAATTGGGCAATGTGGGTGCATAGCTTTGAATTGCATGGCATGGGCTGCACCCAAGACTGCTCAATACATGTGACCAGGATGATGTGGGCAGTTGACAATTGCTGAACAAGGCTTAGTCTGTGGGAAGTAGTTCGGGGCGTTCCTAGCCTGATTCTGGTCCAGATGCATGCTAATGAGGGGCAATTCCACATTAGTTACTGAGTGGGTGGAAATGCCTGCCAAGTGTTGCACAGAGATCAAGTCTGTTGGCCAAGTTTGCTATGGAATAGTAGAATGTGGGTAACTATTCTTTGGCAGATGGGGGTGTCATCTGTCATACTCTTTGTATAAATAGGAGTGCTTGGGCATTCTGATAGTCAGAGAGAGTGTTCTGACTTTGAGAGTTCCTTGTAAATTGTTGAGTTCAATATAAGGTTTGGGAGTGCTTTCCCAGTAAATTTGTGTGTGCCTTTTGTGTGAGTTTCTGTCTCTTGTTTTTGAGATTGTGTGGCTGGTTGCAATAGCAACGCTTTCACAGACAGTCTCGAAACGAAAAACGAGTTATTATCCCGTGACAACAAGGATGGTGGAGACTTTGACAATAGATGGTGGCTCATTCTACCAAAACTAGACTGCGTTGGCTTCGAAGGACAATATTGTGAATTTGATCATATTTTGACCAAGATGGATGCTTCGAAGACCTGAACATATCAATGGTGATAGTGTTGGAAGTGGGGGTGGGGGTTGCGTGGAAGGATGCAATTGTAGGTTTGGCGTTTGGGGAAGTAGAGGAGAGAGGGAATAAAGTGGGGTGTGCTGTGGCTGGTGGTTGTGGGTGTGGTGCTGGTGGCAATGTATGTGATAGGGGATAGTGCTAGTTTATAGGCTTGGAGAAGGGGAGGGGTCTAGTGTTTAGGTTTTGTTCGGAAGTTAAGGTCATGTTTTTGGGTTTAATATGGATTCAGGTTTAAAATATGGGATATGAACTTTTATATATTTTATTTTAACTGATTAAATGAAGAGTAAAAAAGTCTTTTTATTCAAACATTAACAGTTCTTAATTTTCACTCTGGTTGGGGTGACTCTGCCATTTTTAGAATATCAGGTGTGTCTGTATCATTGGGTCTAATTATAGGGGGTCCACGTGCAATTTACCCTTATTTAATTTATTGAAACCTCAATCAACAAGCATTGCATGTCCAAAACCCCTTACTAGGTTTGGGTTCTAATATATCCATAATTCTATAACAAAGTTTATATCAAATTGGTTTTATGCAGTATGCGAAACCTAACTTTCAAAACAATGTGAATTCTTTTTAGTAGGCTCACCAATTGTGTTTCTACTATTATTTTCCTATTTTTGCTGCAAGCAATTACTTTAACTTACATAGTTCAACATACCATCGAATGAAAGGGTCCAAGGTAGAACTTCTTATTGAAATTTAGTGGTAATTTCATAGCGGAAGAGGTTTGAGTTTTCCACAATAGTTTTTAGTTTATGCAAATGGGTTGCAACACCGGTGGGTTGGGTGGGTTTAGGGGTTAGACCAAGCTCAACCCAATATATAAAGCTATTAACTTCAATTCAATCCAAGTTGAGCTTCAACTCGATCCCTTTAACCCATGCTTAGATTTCTAAACTTGGTTTGAACTTGATATGCACGACTCGGGTTATAATTTAGGTTTAATTTGGGCAACACATGCTTTACACACAAATTTTATACCTTTAGGACGAGAGTGGGATCTGGTGACGAGATCTCATCGGATAAATCAGGAATCTCCTTCCAAACCTCCACCATTCGATTCGTCATCTTCAACACAATATTCACCTTACAATTACCATCGCGCAATTTACATCTCTCATACATAGAAGCACATGTCAACAATCATAAGCTAATGCAATAAGAAACTCCCTTTGATTCGATTCTGACCTTGTCTAATATCTTCCCTTGAAATGTCTTTATCCAAGAATGAGAGAGAGAGAGAGAGATCATTTATTGTCTTAAGATGTATTTCTTGAGAGAGAGAGAGAGGGAGAGAAGTTGGGTTTTCATAGAAGAAGAGTTGGGTTTTTGCTACTTTTTCCTCTATGTTGTCTACTGAGAAAACTAAGCAGCGTACCTTCAAATGGTGGTCATGATGATGGCACTAGTTGTAGAAAACTAAGATTTTGTGTGGTTGAGAGAAAAAGGGAGGACGAGAGGAAAGGCTGGACAGCAAAATATTGCAAGATAAAGTGTGCGAGAGAGAGAGGGCAACATGTTTGAGAGATCTAACAAACGAGACAAAAATAGATCGTATTTGACAATTGAGAGAGAGATCGGAGAGGCAACCCTTATTAGAAATAACCAAATTATATATATACTTTGGATTCGGGCAATCTAATGCCCCACTTCAAGTGCTGTACATATTTAAGTTGGAATGCATTTTTTTACCTCTACCCAACCCAAGTGCTGAAAATCTTTGTCTAAGTACTAGATTTTTGTTGGTGGGGGTTCGGATTGACTTTGAACCCATGTATTCCCCATAATGAAACATAAAACCTACTTTATATTGTGCTACCTAAGGGTCAAAAGATTTGTGCGGTTCAAATGCCAAATGAATGTGGACACATTCGAATACCTTGTTGATCCTTTAGTGCTAGCTGGTTGTAACATTTGGTTGAGGTATACACTAAGACTTATTTTCTCGAGTGTAAACAGGGGTCTCATAATCCCTTTCTTGTACCTTTATTCTTGTTATCATCAGTAGGTTAATGCAATGTTTCCCAATGTGAAGATCATGTGGTCTTTAGACTTCACATGGTAAAGAAATTGAGAGAAATATCCACATGCAAGTCTAATAAAGAAAATTGCTCTTGCAAAGGAAGTGTTGAGATAATTTTTTGGGGGTGGGGGCTTTTGGGGGGCGTTCACTTTCTGGGTACTTTTTACCTCAACTTCTCTCCTAATCATGTGGCTCTAGGTTTCTTTAATTTTTGAACACGTTTGGTATTTTTTTTGCACAAATGGTCGTGTTCAGTTAAATCCTGATAATTTTTGAACAGGATATACTGTGAAAATCTTGCTGTAGTATGTCTCATTATGGAAATCATATTTTAGAATCATCCAATGCTGGCAAGGGAATATGAGCGAGTGAGAGCTGGGAAGCCTCCAGTGCAGCTTGATATGTCAAGATATGGACTTGAAATGCCACCTGTGAACAAACGGAGTGATGAAACTGCTTGGAAGCAGACGCTTCAAAAAGCTCAGCGTCTACTACAGCATCAAGTAATCAGGTAGCATACTTGTGATTGGATATAAACTAATTATTCTTAGTTGATTCCGTTATGGTTAAGATTTTCTTTTGTTGACAAATTAAGTGGGATAACACATTACCTTGTTGGTTTGGAATTGGAATTATTATCGAAATAAGGATTGCAAGAACCATTAGAGTTCAAGGATGACTTTTATATTAGATAGATATTTTGAGCACCCTCTAGGATAACCTGTATGCTAGTATTTGGGTTGCATCATGTTTATGTGTGGGAACTACATATTTAATCGTCGTAAATTAGCTCCTATTTGTGTGGTCAACCCTAATTTCATGGGGTACGGATTTGTTTAAATTGGTTATTATGGTAGTTGTTGTAGTTGAGGTATCTGTAACTAAGAGTTGACTAACTGGCTATGATGGTTGTTCTATGCATGTATATTATTATCGACCAAATATCAAATGACAAGTATACAAGAGCGAATTATGGATGTAACTCAACTCAACTCAAAAAAGCATTTATCCCAACTATTTTGCATTGGGTACATGTATCCTTTTTTGCTATTGTACATTATCATGGGCCATGTTTTCTATTAAATTGTGAGCTATCATATCTTTTTTTTCTATTTGTTCAACATTAATTTTGGCGTATCTATCTGTATTATTATTGATGTTTCTCTTATCACTCTTTCACACAAGTTCATTACTAGGTCTTTCATAGATATCTTAAAACCACATAAATCGATTATCTCTGCTCCTATAGTTTAAAAAATATACTCATTTCTTGTTTTACTACACAGTCATTGTGACCTTTTCATTTCAGCAACAATTAGTTTTTGTGCATGTTGTTTCTTAATTATGCAATACTCTGTATTGAGGTATATGTTAGATGCATCTCGGCATGTAGTCTACCCTGCTTTAATTCTATTATTAACATTATCTCAAATCTCTCTTTCCCTATGGATAATTAACCCAAATAATGAAAGTGTTCGCACTTTGATATCTCTTGATCTTCGATCTTTACTATTTTCCTGATTGAATTTGTACTATTACTATAAATGCATTTAATGTATTCAGTTTTATCTTGTTCTAAAATTCTAAAGTTTCTCTTCAAACTTTTAGTTTATTGTTAATTTCCTACTTTAGTTTCATCAATTAATACTGTAGCACCAACGAATAATGTATACCATGGAATCATGTTTTGAACGAGTCCTCCATTTATGTTCACCTTTCACACTAATTATTGTCTTTTTTCATTTACCTATTCCAAGACATCTTCAAGTGTTTTGGAAGACTTGGTGGAAACAGTGGAACTAACCCTGATAGCATTATGAGACCACCCCTTCCTTCTTTTTTGAGCTGAATGAGCTATTGAATTTTTTTCTATTTGTTCTGGAACAGTCTGTAAATAATTCTCAGTTGCTGTCTAGAAAGTTATGAATTCTATTTTAGGAGTGGCACTTGGATAATTGATAATGGGATTCCCGATTGGGAGTCATAGGAGTAATTGTATTTAAGAATTTTGCTAAAAGTGCTGTGCTGCATGAAAAGTGCATGGTTTCAAATTCAATAACACAAAAAAGCTCATTATTTATTTTTCCCCTCTATGGCCGCTCTTCATTTTCTTTTATCTTGGACTCCTCTTGCTGCTTTCCTTTTTCTAGATCTAGTATTGGCGCCCTCCTACTATGTATGAGTTGAGTGGTTAATATTGCAGGCTGGAAAATCTGGACTTAATGTCAAAACATGGTGCTGAAGTCTGGAAACAACATAATCAACTATTGGAGGCATTCTTATCCAGGTTTGTTAATTCTGTCATAAAGTGTTTTTTTTCCTTGTGGTTCATCGTCTAGAAAATTTTCTTTATCAGAACATCTGTATGGCTTTGATTTGTCATTGAACCAGATCATTTACATAGCCAAAACTATATAGGGCAATAGTAGATTATGAATTGACATAAGTTTTTAGGCATGACCTGCTCTTGCATTGGTCACTTTGCTTAGTCAAACGTGCTCTCTTTGCTCATTTAAGCATTTGTTAAAGTTGATGTCTTTTGATGTAGACCTCAGTTCAAAAATGGCACCTTTCGTCAAACATGCAATAAACGAGAGATTGCCAATTGAATTGAAAAGGTGTCCTAAGGTGTAAACTTATCTAGCATCATTGAAATATGGGAAATAATTTGTCGAATTTCATTTGAAAAAGGAAAAAATCGAATTTGTGTCCTTTTACCTCCACTTTTTTAGAAACATATAAGGATGGAAAGCCCAACTTTTGTGGTCAAAAGAAGAGAAATGTTGTGGTGATGATGATACTCTCAATGATGGAAACATGTGGGTCTCATGGCCCTTTGCAAAAGGATAGGGTTTTTCACTCTTTTTTTGTGTTTTTTTGTTGGTTAGGGAAGGTTATTTTTTTATAGGTTGGGGAAGGAAAATTCAGTGATTTTGAGGCATTGTGTAGTCATGTTTATTGGTTGATTGCACCTCACATTGCTGATAAAAACGTGGGATTTTATGGAAGTTTGATTATTGAAAATTAATAAACTAGACAAACCCATTTAAATATGCCAAAAATGCTCCGAGGTCAATGACTACAAATAGGTCATTATTGTCTTCATGATGTAGGACAACTTTGTAAAATAAAAAAATAGGGGCTGTTTAGGGACTGTGAATAATACTTGTAAACAGTAATGAGCTGTGAACCGTAGGGTGAACAGTAATTTTGGTTAGGAATCACTCCTGGGGTTCTGTAGGCATCACACCCAGGATTAGAATGGCATCACACAACTCAAGAAACATGTAATTGCTCAAAATTTTGAATATCTCTTTCTATCTATTATTAAAAGTAACACTAACTATATATTAGAGTTCTAAGTAATCCTAATCCGAAAAGATTAAGATTTCAAAGTCCCTAGAACTTCAAATACACTAGGTCCCTACAAATTAGAAAACTAAATTTAACTAGAATTAGAACTTTAAATTCTAAAATATTCAATACTAGAATTTGACCCAAAAATATGACCTATTCCAGAAATTTTGGAAATTATTTAAATGTCCCTGACTCTAAAAAATATAAAAAAACCCACATAAAACACTAATATTACCAAACTAACTCAAAGCAACTAAAAATAAGACTCTATTTATGCTTATGCAAGCTCCTAAGTAGGTTCCTCATCATCCAACATGTGTCAAATTAAAGTTCGAACCTTGGAAACATCTTTTCCTCGCCTTTTATAAACTTTGTAAGGTTGTTGTCATTTGTCCCCATCACTTCACCACCCCCACCTCAAAAGAAAAACAAAAAAAAGATTCTTGTATAATTGTTTAAGCACTCTTAACAACTTTTGATTGGAGAAACTGACTTTTCTTGAGGTGCTAGGTGGAGTTCAGATCAGATCTTAACTAGTTCGAATTCAATAAAAAACCTTTATCCGAATTCGATCGTATGCATGAGGGATATCAAAATCCTAATCCAAAAGCGTTTTTGTTAACTATCGGACATCTAGCCTTATTTGAATCAAATGACTTCAAAAAAAATTTCACAAAAAAATTAGCAATTTCACCTAATTAAAAAAAAACCAAAAATTTCAGCAATATACAAATAAATTAATCCTAATAACTCCAACAAATCACTAAATCCTGGTAGATTTCGATTTAATTTGATCTCAATATATTAATAATTCGGTTAACTCAACAAAAAAATAAAATAAAACCTTACCGGTTTGGAATTGAGTTCTTTAACATAGCCTAGGCCTAGTTGGTGTTCTTCAAACTGAAGCGGATGCTTGTTGGACTAAAAATTGAAATATTAGGGCTCTTCTTGCCACAAATTTCTTCACACCTTGCCTTTAATTTTCTTCAAAAGGATGAAGAAAACCAAGAAATCCCCAATCAATGAACCTCAAAACTGCTATATTTGGTCAAATATGAAGCAAGGAAGATTTGAAGAGCAAAAACAAGAGAGAAAGGGAAGGGCAACAAAGGGAGAGAAATATAGGAGAATAGGGAGGACGAGAAAGAAAGCCAAGCACTAGATAACGTGGACATAAAAAAGATAAAGTAAGTGTGAGGAAATAAGAACTGAGAGAGAAAGGAGAGAGCATCAATAAAAAAAAGTGAAAAACATAACTAAGAGAGGGAAGGGATAGGGAAGTCGAAGACCATATGAGTTGGTCACTGGGATGGATTGTCGGTGAAGGGGTAAGGGGTGCAATGGTGTCTTGGGGAGCAGGTGGTGCGAGGGGGGTGGGGTTGTTTTGGGTTGAAAAGTGAAAACCTATTATCATTATATATGTGGGATTATATATATAATATATTTTTTGGTTGGGATTTTTAATGGATCAGATTAGTACGTATTCAAATTCGAATCTTTTTTTAGAGATAAATGGATCAGATCGAATTCGAGTAATCAAATTAAAGCTATGCTCCATATCTGAATAAACAGATTTGGATTAGAATCCAATCCATTTATAGGTCTACTTGTGGGAGTTCGATCCAAACTATTTACAAGAACCAAGTGCCTTCTACATGGAGACTATATGATGTTTCACCAGACAAATAATTGTAAGGTTTGTGTGAGCATTTTGTTGTGGTGATACACAATACTTTCAAAAAATGATCTAAATAAATTAATATTTGGAGATCGTAGCTTAGAAGACATTATGCTTGAATATTGCTATTGTGTCTGAGGAATAGTGGACGATAAATAGAGATGACTAACTATACTAATAAAAGAACAAAATAAGATATTAGAAGATGTTCCTAGGAATTATTATTGTTTTTGTGGTTCATGTTCATATATTAGCTGGGATGAGTGAGGATGTGAGTAGTGGGGATAAGTGTTTGGATAAAAAATGGGAGTTATAAGGGGTGGGTAATTTTGTATCTATGTTTGAGTTGGACTAGGGATGAACAGGGTTAGTCAGGTGTCCGTGCTTGGAGGGATGGGTTTGGTTGTTAGTGAGAAGTGGGTCTATGGGAATTGAAAAACAACAAAATTCAGGCTTGTTAGCAAACTTGGATTTGAGTCTATGAAATGTGTGTAATGATAGTAATGATGCCATAATTAATTTTGCTACAGTGGAATCAAGGATCAAAATATCGTTTCGAAACGGTCGAAACATCCGAAACGTTCCGGTTTCTAAGGAGACCGAAACAAATCAGTGATGAAATTAAAATTCTAATACTTCGAGGCGTTCCATAATATTTTGAAATGTTTTGTTATGTTTTAATACTTTTGTACAGTTATTTCTGAATGTTTCATAATATTCGAGATATTTTGAAAAAATAATTTTTAATTTTTTTTTTTTTATTCTTTTTTCGAAACGGGTCAAAACGTTTCTGAAACATGTCGAAATGTTTTCATTTTCTAGGTGACCGAAACAATGCACCGAAATAAAATTTTGATCCTTGAGTGGAATCCAATGCTATAACTGACAGGACAATTGTATGCTATGAGGGTGAGGGGAATGAAGAGTTGGGTAGGGAGGAAGGAGGTAGTTGTATGCCTACAGATGTGCAGGTAGGTACTTTGTGTTGGATGAAGAAAAATGTGAAATCCTAAAAATTTTTGTTAGAAAAATGAATTTATCTTTAGTCTTCACAAAAAAGAAGTGAAAGAACAAAGGTGAATAAGAGGAGTGAAAAGAGTATAAAAGGTAGTTAAGAACTGAAGAATTTGCAGTCAGGGAAATTTTCTTGAGAGTAATTTTGGATATTGTTATTTTGTAGGAATCTAAGAAAGAGATTTTTGATAGAAAAATTATAGAGTGTGTGTAGAGGTTTAGGTAAAGTAATCAAGTGTTCTTACCATCTGTGGGGAGATCAAGATGTATTGTTATTATGTGGGATAAAAGATTAGTTTTAATGGAGGAAACAATTGCGAGTGAATTCACTTTGTCAATTAAAATAAAACACATGGATGATCTTGGGTGGTGGCTAGCAGGGTGTATGGGCCAAATAAGCCTAGGTTAAGGATACCCTCATGGGAAGAATTAGCGGAGTTGTTTGGAATGTGTAGTCCAAAGTGGTGTCATAGGGAAATTGAATTCAATGACCTGCCCCTTAGAAAATTATGTTTTTATTGGTCTAATTTTCGGGAGTCTTGGTGTGTAAAAGGCTTGATAGGTTTTTGTTCACGGGGAGGTAGAAAGATTGTTTTGCAGGATGTGGACAAGAAGTTTTGCCTAGAGTTGTTTTTGACAATTGTCCTATTGTTCTTGATAATTATAGCATTAAATGGGGACTAGGTCCTTTTAGGTTTGAGAATATGTAGTTTGGGCATCATACTTTTAGGGGGAAGTTTAAGGATTGGTGGGATGGGGGATGTTTTAGTGATTGAGAAAGATATAAACTCATGAAGAAACTAGAACTTGTCAAAAAGAAAATCAAGTGGTGAAATAAGAAAGTGTTTGGATATACTAGCGTCACTAAGAGTTTGATTTTGGAAAGGATTGTGGAGATTGATAAGATTGAGGAGGGAGGGGGCTTGAATGAAGGATTGAGAAAAGAGGGATGAGACCTCAGCAACAAATTTGAAGAGATTGTTTTCGGGGAGGAAATTAGTTGGAGCCTTGGAGGCAAAAATCCAGGGTGAGATGGATGATGAAAAATATTCTAAGTTCTTTCATATAGTGGCAAATGTAAATAGGAAGATTGTAGCTAGAGAGTCAAGTGTTTGTTGAGGGGGAGGATCAAATTGAAAGTGAGGTTGTAGGTTTTTCTAAATTGGTAGGCCTTGATTAGTTCCCCACTGAGCAGAGGAAAACAAGGTGAATCGGGAGACCTTTTGAAGAGTAAGAAGTTCGGAGTACTATTTTTGAGTGTAGAAAAGAGAAAGCACCTGGCCGTGATGATTTTACTATGGCTCTATTGCAAGAGTGTTGGAAGGTTGCGAAAGAAGACCTGATAAAAATGT